TGTTCATTGGGAAATACCCTGACATGAATATTTACTGGTAATTCTTTTCAGTAAGATGTGGCAGCCACAGCTGTTAAGTTTCTATACCAACATAGCACCAATGTTATCCATTTTCATTGTAAGACAGAAGAAATCCCATTTGATTTAGGTCAGACTTACTTAGGCTCATTGTATTTTTACCAGCTGGCTTCCTTCCAGAGCTGTATTTATCTTTGTATCACCTTTCAGCACCAGAAACATGCTATTCTCCTCACTTTACAGATGGGTTCCTGAAGCAGAGTTCATCTTCTCCCAGGCAACAAAGTGAGGTGTGAGGAAGTTGCATGGGAATCAGAGTGTAGGAACTTTACCCGCCTGGAAATTAAGGGAAGACAGCATCAAGGAAGTCTTTGATATGAAATCCCAATGGAGCAGTAGTGATCCTCAAACATGGGCCAGGCCACAGCAACAAGAGCACTCCTAGCTGCAAAATTTGAAGAACCTGCATTGCCTATACCTGGAAGCTCAGCTCTAACTCTGAGTTAGGAACTGCCCAAGTACCCCTGGGCATGAGGCAAGCAGCCAATCAGCCTGTCCTGGCTAGATGCACTGAAGCATCTTCAACAAGTCAGTATCGTGTTCTCAACCCTGTTTTGTCCCTGGTAAAGAGCATCACAAACACCATGGAAAATTTCCATAAAATAATGGCAAGGATACATAAAAAACATGCCTTGATTCTCCTTTGTGAGAAAACTTGTGGAGTGTTAACAGTCTATTTAAGAGGATGCTGCTACCTATGCAGAGCATGCCACATGGAGAACAGTGGCTGTGGTGGAAGTCACCTGTGTGACAGGCAGCACACAGAATGGATTCATGGGTTAAACCCATTGTAATAGCTTAGCTGTTGTTGGTTCTTACTGGAAGGATATCACAGCCTGGGTGAGCCCTTTCTGTGAAGTGGTTCATCACACAGAACCATTGAGAAGTCCTGGTCCCACCTGCACACTGTTCCTGTAGAGGTGAGATACTTGTTTGGGCTCTACGTCGTTCTTAGTCAATAGTTTATGGGACAGATTAGTGAAGTTCAGGAGAAACAGGTTCCAAGCTGTAGCCTACAAGGAACTATGTACAATGTGTGTCTCTTTGGAAAAGAGGGTTAAACTGACTCACCAAGCTAAAGGACATACTGCCACCTTTGAAAAGACTCATCATCCAGTCTAGAAAAGTCTGCCATTAGTGTGACACTTGTACACAAAGAGATAAAACTATTGCAATCAGCTGTGATTTCATCCACACACTTTACTTCTGCTTCCAACCAGAGTTAGTTCAAATTACTGTTTGACACCAGCCTGGCAGCAACAGCAGAAGCTTGATATCATAGAGGGTTTGGGTTTGGGGATTCTTTTGGGTTTTGGAGTTTTTTTCTTGCTACTATGTTTGCATCACATTTCTAAAAACGACTGCGCAGCATCTTCCACTACTGGAAATGTATTAAGGGTAAATAATGCATCTCATCTTTACCAGTGGAGATGGAATATCACAGGAATCAGGGAAGCTGTGAACTGTACCACCTAGTCAGTTATTTATATGGAGAACCCATTAAACAAAGTATTTAAGCAATGAAATATCTTGCTTATTGTTAATAGTATCCTGAATATGAGGAGGCTCATCACCCAGGTTCTCCAGAGTCTGTGGTTACACTACATAATTACATAAAAAACAACCACACAGTCAATGCCTATCCAGTAAGCATTTTAATTTTATTCTATCATAGAGCAATACAGTGGTGCTATACTGATATATTCAAAAGAAAAATGACTCAATACCCTCTTAATTCATGAGACATTAAAAAAACAAACAACAAAAAAACACAAACAAAAAGCTTTTCAGGAATAAAGAAATGTCTGCTTACCAGCATTTGAGTTTTTTAACTCGTATTTTCCAGCAACAGTGTGGGTAAATAGTTAAAATGCCATAGTTACCTCAAAATCATGACTCATCTGAAATCAGTGGAGTTACATGGGTAACCACATAAGGGAAGCATACTCTCAAGTCTCAGGATATCAGATTTCTCGGTCCATCAATTAAAGGCACTTACACACTACAAGCAGTACAGCTGGAATCCCAATTACATTCTGTGCTGCAGGAAGAAGTTGGGCCAGATTCAAATCTTCAGGTCTAATCCTATCTTCCTCTGATGTTTAGTTCCCTTCACTCACTGACGACAACTGTTAGAGATTCAATTTCCCACTTTTGTCTTCAGATTTGTCCACTGCTTGGAATATGGTGCACAGAGACTTTAGAGGAGACAGAATTTACCTTTCAACAGTTAGCAGGATTGCAAAAGATCATCCTGTTGTGATATCAGGGAAAAGACAGACACCACCACACTCCCATCTCTACTTTAAATAAACCTAGCTCTGTGATTCAGACTTCTATGCCTAAAATAATTGTACATACTGTGCTTTGAAGGATTAATTACTCCTAAATGTGCTGAAATATTCATATAGAAGATATTGTATAAAGACATGTAACTGTTTATTGCCACAAATGTAAACAAAACTTGTTTCACATCACAACATAGTAGTGAGAAAATTCTGTGCAAGATAAATTAAAACGCTCATCCATCCAAAATCACCAAACCAAACAAAAAATTCAAGCATGGTTTGGGAAAGCTAGCAGTGTAAAAGTTTTATTAGCGTCCAAAGAAATAACACAACATTTTTTGAAATCAAAAAATAACTTTTTTGCTATGGCAGAGAAACTTGAGTCATCAAACTGAATCATCAGAGTGCCCTTATTTTCAGAAAGGCGGGAGGAAAATGAAATGCTAAATAATTCTAAGAGTAGAGAACGCCAATCATTTTGCACAGCAAACACTACAGCTGGACACACAATTTGATCAGTTAGACACATGTTTTAGGGCTTAATTATCATACTACTGCGTTTCAGATACTGAGATTGCTCCTGGCAAACTGAAACAGGGATGAAGTAGGGCATAGTCTGCTCCTCTCCTCAGGTCACTGCTGTACAAAACTGTACCAATAAATTTCTCTATTTAGGCTGCAAAAAAAGTCTCTTTTTAAGTCCTCAGTGAAAACTCCCCATAAGGAAAGCATGCAAGTCTCCTGCTGTGAATAAATGCCATCCTGCCATATTTTGTGCAATGTTTCCAGTTATCTTGAGGTGCTACAGGGAGACTTGAGTGCATTGACTAACATTTGAATCAGAGACAGCAGTAGTAGATGTCTGCTGCATGAATTCAAGAACTGGATATTCTTCATTACTGCAGATGTCCCTTGTCTTCTATGCCAATAGGACCATTATGGTGATTTCCCCCTCCCCCCTCCTTCTTCACAGTGACAAATGCCAGCACAATCAAAATCTGGAAAGTTTCCATGTGAAAAACAGGAACAGAAGAGTGCTTACCTAATCAGCTGTGCTATGCACTGAACTGTGACTGTGGGGAAAAAGCTGGCCAGGCAGACCACCCTGCTTATGAAAAAATGATATCAGATGCATCATGGTGACACAAGAAATATCTGTAATAAATGTCATACTTTATAAGAGAAAAAAAGGAGGTTTCCATACTGAATATTCTATACAACACTGCAGGTCTTCTTTTTCTGCATTTTAGAATGACATCATTGATCTTTTTGTATGAGTTTAATTACAGCCTCACTTCAAGGCTGCCAGTAATAAAGACCTATTAGTACTCCTCTTAAAGAGGCAAAAAGCTTTATTAGATACTGCAAAGAGCTAGGGATGCTCTGAAAAAATAATAAAGGGCAGTCAAGCAATCACATTTGCTCTGCCAAGAGCTTTTAAGATGTAACCCAGAGGCCTGAAGCTTTATTACCAAAACATTTTCCCTGTTGCCACCTAAAAAAACTGTGCTGAAGTTTAATGACCAAAAGGTAGGTAATGAAACTGCACCAATAATTGCATACTTAAGAACGAAAATACAAAGTAGTTCTACTTTCATTGAAGAGATGACTTTAAAGACTGGCACTATTTTGGACCCCAAAAATACATGGATCAGTGCCACTGAAGAACGCATAGAGATGTTTAGGGAACCCAGACTGAGGACACAAAGGTTAATCTGAGAGTCCAAATTTTAAATAGCAGCATACCAATATCAGGAAACATAATGTGCATACAGTGTTTAAAAGAAACAACCCCTCCACAAGATAGTCTCTGAAGAATCCTTAGTAAAAAGTTTTCTATTTTTCTTTCATTTCTAGCCACTACTAGTGCCTAAAGTAGCTGGAAATGGTGCTTCTAAACCTTACAGGCAGCAAGAAGTGGCCAACAAAGGACCTGTGGCAAGCCAGCATTTAAAAAAGTTAGATCTGGAGGTGTTTTGTCTTCTCTGCTAGAGTAAGAAAGCTCATGGAATATAAAAAAGCTTTATACTGTAAAAAGACTCTAGTGCATGGCATCATATAAGAAATCAGACTCACTAGTAAACTATGCTGTCGGTCTTTTTAAAAGACAAATGAAAGACATGCTCAGCTGAACCAACATCAGACTACTAGACAGGCTCTCTTTGCTGTCTATACTGAAAGGGGATGCCCTTAGATGGAATTTTATCTGAAATTTACCGTTCTGGGTGTAGAGATAATACTCCAGTTTACACCAGTCTGCCTTTTTCTTCTACTTGGTTGAGAGGTCAAAAATGTTAGAGGCTTGTTTGTTTTCAATGATCGCTGTGCAGACAAAAAGTTCAAGGATCTACCTAGTGTACAAAGACATTAAATGTTCTCCAAGGCTTCCACCTCCCTAACCCCCAGAATCACTGATGAGAACCAGTATGGAAAGAGTCAGAGATCACCAGGACAAAGATGGCAACTAGGACAGTTCTGTTAGGCAGAGGACACTTAGGTTAAGGCTGCAAGGAAGATGGGCCAATCTGGGTTTGGTGTTATAATAATGCACAAATACATTCATCTTCAATTTAGTTGCTTTAGGTCGAATTAATTTTTTTAAAGTGATTGTAAGTTCTTGGCATTAATATTAAATCAGTGTTTTAGTCTTGGATGCTGCTTCACTCCTACAGTCTTTTTAATCACCCCTTTTTGAGGATTAACCTTCTTTGTGTTTCCTGGAACACTGTATCTCCTTCTGAAATAAAATGCATGAAGTTAGCCATCAAGTGTCACATTCCCTGTAAGCTCTAACTGCTAGAAACTTGCATGCTTTTCATATTTGCATAACTGATTAGTATTGTGAATTAATAAACCTGAGAGAGGAAAAAACAAGTGTATTTCTGGGTTTGCAGGCTAGCAGAGCATCTAATTATGCTGCATGCAAACTCAATCCTCATCTCATGATTCCTGACTACTTCCTGTTACCTAAATGATGGCATTTGAAGAACATGAACTGAATACTAAACATTTGCACAAAGAGAATGATAACTGGCTAAGGGACATTTTCATCAGCTACATAATCCCCATTAGGAAATGGAAAAACACTTCACGTAGATATAGTTACCGATCTCTGCAGGCATTCCACTCTGGAGACCCATGCTCTTGAGCCCATGATCTCACAAAGAAAATGCTGCCAGCAGATTTCTGAAGTGGTGCTTAACGTGGATACACACACCATCTACGTGAAACCTATTAGAGCCATTTTCATCTTGATCTTCTTAGAGAAATCAGTGGGAATGCAAGTAAATCTCCAGGGGGAAATGATGATTCCACAAACTGGAAGGGTTAGTCTCATGATCAAGCAGCATGCATCTCTACTCTCATGCAAAGTACCTTTGTTTCTCTCCCTGTCCATTACTACAGTGGACACACAGCACTTTACATACTCAACAATATACAGGGTGTCAATGTCTTTCTCAAGTAAAAGCATTCTGAAGGAAAATATATCACAACATCACATCCTTACATTCACGATGACAGCCAGAGAAATATTTTGTTATGCAGTAGAAGCTGTGCTGACACGATCTATGCAAGTTTCACATTTCTGTGCAAACAGCCAACAAAGTTGTCCCTAGGGCTTGCTGGTCTTCTTGAGATTGACACATCCTTTGTTCCAGCTCTTACAAGCAGTCATGGTCTTGCAGGGACAGTTGTTCCCATAGAGATATGAAGCTGCTTCTGCTCAGAACTTGGAAGATCAGCACCCATGGACCCAGTTTGCTCAATAATAAATTGATTATTTAAATTCAAATCAACCGATTATTCAAAATCAATTGATGAATCTGTAGATCACTGCAGAACTGGACAACAGACAGCATATGTGTGGTATTATGCTGGCAGGAAAACCTGTTTCCACTCAAAACCAGCTGGACTTTTGGACTTAGAAGCCAGGTAGCTGCAGCCAGTGCAGTGTTGACACTGAGCTGATACATCTTAGTATAACAGCATAACAGTAAGAGCTCAAAATGACATAAAATTGGCTGCTCAGATTGCATCAGAGACATGAATAATCAAGACATCCATGTTTTTTCCTAACTGTCAGCTAGTCCGTCTTCTTCTTGGCTTGTGAAATACCATAAAAAGGACCTCCACCTGAACTTGGCTTCTATGTTTGGATGGACAGAAAACTGAATGCATCAACAATTAGTGTTCACAATTAACACTCAAAAATTTTTCTCTGTTGCTTTAATACATATGTTGGGTTTTCCATACCTGTACCTACAGTTAAAACAAACATTAAGCATAGTTTCTTAGTATGGTTTGAAATCTAATGAAGGCAGGCATTTTCCGAAAGGCCAACAGAAGTGAGGTAAGAAGTCTGGACAGGAAATTTTTAAATTATTCTCAAGAAAACGTTTATATTCAGTCATGCAGGTCTACTCTTATTTGAATGAAATTATTTCACATTAATGTCAGCTTCAATGAACAACTTTCAGGCTGTAAATCAAAACATAATTAAAAAGGAATAATCTAACAATGGCTGTGTTAACCTTGTGATGATCATGAGGTGCTTACTTACATTTTAGTATTTCTTTAAAATACAAACTATGCCAAATCTCCATTCTTGTTTCCATGTTGCCAACTAAGACCAAAGTTTGACTTGAAGTTCTAAGTCATTGGTTATAAAAGTCAATGCTTTGCAAACCAGGTCTTTTGCTACTAAGGACAAACTAAAATATGAACACTTCCTTTCATATGTGTAAAGTATTTTGAAAAATTTAAAAAAAAGGTCCTCAGAGTGAAAATGGGTTGAAAGGGAATATTTTGTTACAATATGCAACTTCTGAGACCAGCAACTACAGGACACTTTATCTTCTTTTACCCTTTATTTTCTTTTGTTTGATATAAATAAAATTACAGAAAGACTCTGTCATATAATTTCAGGGTAAGTAATGGTCTACTAAGATAAATTATTAGAAAAAACCCCAACATAATCACAGATCAGTGCTAACCCTCGGCAAACCTTGATATCTGGCTGATGATATTTAATCTCCCAGCAGAGACAGTGAATTCTCCTAGTTGTAGCTTCCTGACCTTCTCCACACGAGCTATGCTAAACATCACCGGGGCCAGAAGCAACACTGGCTATATATGGGGTACCTATGGTGCTTTTTCTGTATTGAGAAACTTCAGTTATAGAAGTATATTCATATTCATATTGTACTAGGTTAATTCATATTCTACTAACATGCTCTCCTGGAGCATGAAGATCCACTGTTTCGATTTATGAAATCTTGTGATTCAGTGCTTACAGAGAAGGCAAGATAAAGCCGGTAAGCAAATATATCTACACAATTTCATGCTTATAATTTACTCATTACATTTTCAGATGTTCCCAATATGGAGTGTGTATGCTTATTTTAATAATATAGGTAAGTGGGTTCATGGAAGGGTATTACTGTGAGATACTAAATACACAGAAACCATACTAGCTGAGGAAGTCTCCAAATATAAAGTATCTGGGAGAGTTCCAAAACCAAATATTGTATCTGCCTACTTACACACTTTTGTAGGCATCTACTTACGGCCACTGGAGGCAGGATACTGGGTCCAGCACGCTTTTGACTGGTTCCCTATATTCTTCATACTTTGTACTCTTGACATTTTCGGTTCAGTTAAAAAAATCAATCTCCTCCAATTTCAACCTTTCTCACAAGCATTACAATCACAAATGAATTTCATTTCTATATAGCTCAGTGCAGGTGGGCTCTTTTCAAATTTAAATTTCTAACCCATATAACTAAACAGAAACCCGTTAAACAATGAAGCCTCTATATTTTGTCATCTAAAATGACTCACATTATTATCCACAAAAAGCTTTGCAATCTCTATTGGCTAAAAAGGACCAAGCAAGACATTTATTTAGTTTAATTATTCTTGATGAACTAATGTGTATACTTGTTGCTCCCAAGTCTGCCGTAAGATAGGAAAAAAGATCCATTTTAAACACAAGTTGAAAGGGAAGAACATTAGAGGTACTGTAAGATTTCAAAAAAGCCGCTTAAATATATGTATTTTCAATATTGCAACATACTTAGTGTTAAATAAACTGATTGAAAAGCAATAGCAAAAATGATGTTAAGATTAATACTTTGTCAGCAGGATTCTACTCAGTTATATTTACCATGAACAGAAAGTTGCAATATTCAAAACATAGTAGTTAACAAAAAAAAACCAACAAGCCAGAAAACAGAGGGAATACAAAGGAAATTTACCTCAGTATCTGAGTATTCCTTGTCAGAGCATCTGTTTTTTTCCTTTCCACATTTTTAAGTGTAGCTGAGGTCTGCAAACAAATTAAATCCTAACTATTATCACAGTTAAGGAAGTAAAATATTTCCAAACTGATTCTGACCTACGACAGTCTTACTGCCACGAAGCACTTCAAGAACAGATTATACTGATGCCTTGATGTGGGGAATCGAACCCATGCCAAAATCCCTTGCTGTGCAAAAATACCATTATTTATTAAGATGTTCAATCAGAGAACATTTAATTTCAATCAGCCCAGTGAAGACTTTTTGAAAATCTAGAGCTAGATTTTGAGGCTACCTAAACAAGCCTCAAGGTCTGGATTATTACATTAGTTTGCATTACAACATTACATTTTATAGCATGTGTGAAAACATCTTGGGCTTGTAAAAAAAAATCTGGCACTGAGAATTAGCATGTCACAGTGCTTATAAGACAATGGTTTATACTGTGCTTCCAAGCATATAATGCACGAGGCAAGTATTCCCGACGCAGTCACAGCAAGGTCAGCTATAACTAAAGCAGAACCTTTTGGGAGTTCAAGCTTAAAAATGGATAGGATCTGGACAGATTTAGTTTCTTGAAGGCGGAAATCTTTTGCCCTCAATTTAGTCAGTGATAAAGTGACTCTAGTGATAAAGATGATGGCTAGTATCATTTATCGTCTTTCTGAGCAGATGTGATTCTGTGACACATGAGGCAAGACCAATGCTATGATTGCCATCACTTTTTAAAATTTATATGAATATAGAGTGCCAGTATATATTATTATTATCCGTAGCACTGTTTTTGCTGGTAAAATTTACTCCAGGCCTATCCCAACTAAAATGAGACACTGTTGCACAAGCAGCTTTCCACCTGTACTTGTCTATAACTGTGGTATTTTTTTGCAAAGACGTCCCAATTACAAGTCAGCCTCTACTCTGCTAGTAAAAATTTGTGGTAAAAATCTGGCCTGAAAGAATGGCCCTTTTAAAGATCTGCTGTTGTTCTTTGCCTGGCCTGCTTCTGAAACCGATTTTCTCATACCACAAGAAAGTGTTTTCAGAATTGTGGAGTTCAAATTCCAAGCCAACATTTTTTCAGACTGAAAACAAAGCAAGAAAAGCAAACAAGAATACAGCATAAACCACCGGTGCCTCTAGCATGACTTCTCAAGTTTGTGAAATCTTTAATTTATTTTAAAACAATCATTTAAAATTGACAATATCCTTATGGATCCAGACAAAACAAACAACAAAAGCACTCAGAAGATACATATGTTTTATAAAACAGCAGAAAAACACTTGATAATAAAAAAGGTAAATAAAATAAATAGCTGCTCAGAAGCATCTCTCTCTTCTGCTTCTGCTGCAGGCTTCAGGACAGATCCAAAACAAAGTAGGAAAAAACCCAAAACACCTGGGAATTTTTAATACCTACCAGTAAAAACTTCCATTCTATGATTATTTTTACTGTGAGCTACAGAAAAATACAAACATAAAGAGGAAAAAAAGGTCTAAAAAAACCTTAAATCCATTCTCTGTAACTAAGGAATATACTGTTGTCACAGGATAACAATATCCTGTAGTATATTTACTTTGGAATGCATGGAAAATGTTAGCCTATGGGTAAATCCTTCTAACTAAACTGCTTCCAACATTACTGTGCAGACTCCAAAACAGTGAAATTTTAATACAGCTGAAAGAGTATAGACTGAATGTAAGTTTACTTCTGCCTCTTTTGTTAAAATGAACTGTTTAAAGGGAGAGCAAACATATGCAGATTTAAAATAATATAAAAGCAACAATCAAATCAAAGTCATGGCAGAACAGGACCTGAAGGGACCAGATGAGCCACTGATTCTTTTGCTACGAACAGTCAACTACAATTAGGTTGACTGTCATGTTCAGCTTAGCAATGTAAAAGGTAGATATCTTACCTAGGCTCTGCTTAGAGCACAGGAAGAGGAACAGATAAGTCCCTGGGAAATTCACTTCATCTTGATCTAAAACAGGTGTGATGGTTTGCACCTTCTCTCTCCATAGATTACAGAGGATATCTCTACAACTACTTTAGATTGGCTGTTTAACATTTAGAGAACTAAAGATAGGAAGATTAACTGGAAGATGATTGTTTTGCTCTCGTATGATCCTGAAATCATGGGGACAAATAATTGATTACTGAAAATATAATGCAGTAACTACCTTGAGTGTCCATGGCAAAATGCTATTCCCTAATGTTCCTAATACATCTAAGCAAGATGCCAGTGGATATACCTTGCTTCAAATAATGTTTCATGTTTAAGTGCTTTTCTAGGCAGCTAAACATAGGCACTCCTCTTGCTAGCATGTTCACTAATGAAATAATCTTTTATTTCCTACCTTCTTCCTCCAGCAATTCCCAGTTTCACTGTTAACACAAAGATATTAACAGTTATCATGGGCATTCCCTGGGCTTTTTCTTGGTTTCATGCTGGAAACTTAATTTAAGCAATTCTTTCAGATTTCCCAAAGCAGCAATGAACCACACAAGAGAATCAGTTGCCCACTGTGCAAACACATGGAAACACTGCTAATGACAGCCTTTCACTCTAGTTAGCTATGACAGGGATTCAGTGACAGTCATTCTTGAGCATCACACTAAGCTATTACTTTTACATTATTCAGGAATTAAGAGCACTTTCAGAATAAGAAGTACTAGAAATCTTTACAGGTTCCTTTACAGGTTCCTCCAGTTTGTAGTATCAACTTGTATGGATTACTTAACTTGTTTTATGTATTACATAATTTTCAGCAATAAAATTGAATCTCTGCTTTCACCAAAACAAGGTATCTTATCCCTTATCTTATAAATTTAGTTGAAATATGTGCTGAATTGTCATTCTGAGCTGGCTGGAGAGTTTGTGTTTAAAAGAAAAAAGGAGAAATAAGAAAAAGAGGAACTGCTACTTACAGTGGCTGTCACTACTGCTAATAATTCGTTTCTGTTCTTTTCCACTGAAACATTAAACTAGCATAGCAGTCTTGTGACTAATGGATGGGCAAGCAAGTATCAGAACATAGCTTCAGCTTGCTCAGTTAAAGGCACTTTGACTATCAAACAACTAAAGCCTAACTGATACAAAAGCAAAAAGAGTATCTAAAAATAAATAAACTGTAGCAACTTTTCAATTTCTAGCTCTCAAAATTTTTGAAAAGCAGCTTTTGTAATGGATTAGGCAGATGAATGAAGTGATAAATGATTTTGATCTAATGGTATTAACAGATGCTGTTGCTATATTAAAAAAGCATAATGATTTTTAAAGTTATTGAGTTGCACATTTTTCTTACCTGTAGGATCTCTGAGAGGTACATGCACCGCTCATCATTAGCTTTGTGGTATGCCTACAGTTAAAATAAGGAATATAGGCTACCATTAAGAAAAATATTTTAAAATTTGAATCATACATGAAGAAACAAATATACAGCAGAGCTTTTTTCCAGTGACATTTTGTGGAACTACGCTATAGTGTGCTCCACACACACAGTCTGTCAGACCACATGATGGCTTTTAGAGATAAGAGACATACACTGATTACAAACCTTTGCTTCTTGTTCCAGTCTAAGTTCATAGTCTTTTAGCTGATTCTGGAGACTTTTTTTCTCTTCTTCTAGTTGTTTAAGAACCTCCTTTAAGAAACCCTGTGGTTATAGTAAATAAAACAAAGTTTTACGGACATTTCCATTCCATATAAAGATATCATTACCATAGTCCTTATTCTTCAAGAATTATGATGTTTGTCATTCTACTTGTTTCCTGTATACTTTTTGTTTACATAGTTCTGACTGGCACACTGTAGAAAGAAAAACAATTAACCATATGCTATAATTATCAGCTATGCACTACATATTTCTACTGTGTTAAAATGATACAGATATGGTTTTCCACGCTGCTGCTCCTCAGCAGATTAGCAAAGTCAACTTGTGGTGACCAGTCAGAATTGCTACTGCTAACCAAAGTTCACTCTGATGGCTCCTTTTTAGTAGGAGGGAGATTTCAGATCTCACCTGCACATCCATTTTCAAACCACTTGCTGAGAGAGCTGCTGGACTGGCTGAAATGGCACACAGAATGTGAAAGGCAACTCGTAACAATTTGGCTAGAATGCAGTATTTTGTGGGGAGGCTATCTGTCTTAGGTGTGTAGCCATCTACCTTGTCTACCGTTAGGATGACCTAGAGTAAGAATAGTAGAGTCCCTTTTTGGTTACTGGCACTGGCCCATTCTTTGCTTGCATAACTTTGCAGCGGAAATAAAACACACATTCAAGTAGGTCCTCCTCCATTTCTAACACAGGAAACTGCTTCTCATAATCCCTTTCATAAATTCATCCGCTCCATCCAGTGGCGACATTCTTATTGGGAGGCTCTAGTAGTAGATGGTTTTTTAAATTCATTGTCTTTGATTATTCAAGATCAGCTTATACCTGTTTGTATGAAATTACTTTTAAGATAACTGTTCTTCCTCCCCGGTGTTTGCCCCCAGCTTGTATAGACAGAATACAGGAACATTTTCTTTCAACATTCATTTTACTAGGATAAATAAGATGAGCTTTTAAAAATGGTCTTTCACACAGCAGGCTGTCCTTTCATCTAATCATCACAGTAACTCCTTTGTACACCAGGCTGGAGCTCAACCTTCTTATGGTTGGAGAACAGAACTATACTAAATTATATGGTACTCCAGAAGCCTTGAACAAAGCCAGTAATATTTGTTTATCTGTACAGAGAAATTTTAGGATTGCCTTTTCCTTTTTCACAGCTGCACAATGATGGGTCACAGTCAACAAGAGATCAGCTAGAGTACCCAGATGCTCCTCTGCAGCCGTGTCCAGGTGCTTAGCTCTCAATTCATAACAGATTTGTTTACTATTTCCTAAATCCTTTGGTCTACACAATTACATTTTAATCTCATTTTTAATAATCTATTCTTCAGTGTGATCCTTTTTCTAAACAACATCCAGATCCCTATTACATTACATAATTGGTATCAGGAGAAAGATATCATAATTTATTTCTACTTTGTGTAACAAGGTCATGTATTAAAGGTTAAGATTAGACCTAAACCGGGTCTAAGAAGAACTCTGCTTGTACTCTCCCAACAGCCTTCTTCACTAGCCACTGCTATCATGTTCTATTTGCCAGCTCTTTACTCCTTCAACAAATCTAATTTTAATTTTCTCCAAATTAATCAGTTGCTTCCCATGTGACATGGCATCTTTAACAGGGGTCACAGTGAACAAGATTACTATATGTATTGTGACAAGTCTGTTGTCTCATCACAGAATGTCAACAAGCTTGCCCACCATGAACCACATTTATAAATCCGTGTTTCAGTCTAATTTTACAACAATTACTCTTTTTCTGTCTTAAAACTAAGAAAAAATATTTTTTTCTCCAATGCATACAATGCCATCATCCACAACTTTATCAAAACCACTTGTTATCAGATCAGTGATCAGCAGGCCAATTCTTTCAGAATTCTAAAGTATAGATTACACATTTCCCTCAATTTAAGCTTATCCAGCTCCTTGAATTTTCCTTAGGATTTGGTTACTGTCATTTCCTCTTCCAAGCACTTGCTGACATTAGCTATTTCTTCCTTTGTCCTGCATTTTATTGATTCTGCCTTTACTGAAAATAGGCAATATATACATGTTTAATTTAAAAGGAATTAATTCATTATCACATGATCTGACAGTTTTTTAACTGGCCTTTCTGCAATGTTCTTCTAGATTTTCAAAATCTAAAACAGCATTCCCTTCTTTTTACCCAGTATTTTCTGATAAAATATTTTAACTATCACATCCACTGAGATCTGTGCCTTATTACTAGCACTTGGGTTTTAGTCTTTATTTACAAGTATCACATATGATACAATTTTGGAAAGTAATCTAATGTGTGGGAGATACAGCACATGGGTTACAGGAGACACTTCAGAAGCAGCAGTGGGCTACTCAGCATTGAAACATCTCCAACTCTCTTTGTTTACACCACTATTTCACTGAAGATGCCTATTCAGATAAATCTAGATACAACTCTCTATGCTCAGCTGACTGTATTAATAAGGCTTGCACTGCCTGTAGTGGGAATTAAAGATCTAGCCAAGAGGTAGACATCTATATGTAAAAAAGAATATGTTGGTGTTCTAGTATTTAAGTGAGTCATATTGTTTCAACATATATTTCAACATTATTTCCCAATATTATTGTGATTCAGATTTGATTTCCTATCCATCCTCAAGATGAATTAATCAAAACAGATAATGAAGGAAGAATGAATAACATGAATGTAAAAGTCTCTCACATCTGCTACATATCACATCTATCTCTGTTTTGATCTTTTCTGCCAAGCATATACCTTTAATACTTGTTATCCCATCATGTTTTCATTATCAATGTTATTACATTTCAGGCTAGTCAGGTTATTCCATTTGTTTGCTAAGGCCCCCTGTGTAAAGTAAGTATCTGTTTCAGAATTTTTGTTTATTTTTATTTCCAACTCAAGCATCTCCCTAGTCAGAAATGCTGAATCCTTTCACCTTCTGTACTGACTACCTGACCATTGCCTTAATAATCAGTTATTTCTTCTCATGATCTTAATGCTTTACTATAACTTTATTTACCAGATTTTCCTGGTAAACATGGAAAGGAAGATAATATGACTCTCTCCTTCTTTTAAAATGGAAATTTTTCCCTACTTATGCAAACCTCAGATTCAGAAGGCCAGCATCCATATATGGTCCATTTCTCAGGGAGTTTATGAATGCTTGCTGATGGTAAAAGAAAATCCAAACCTAATTTAAGCCTTAAGGGATCAGTTCTGGCTCTGGTCCTGTTTAACATCTTCATTAATGATCTGGATGATGGGGCAGATTGTCTCCTCAGGAAGGTTACAAATGACACCAAACTGGGAGGAGTAACTGACATGCCAGAGGGTCATGCAGCCATCCAGAGCGGCATCAGTAGGCTGGAGAAATGGGCTGACAGGAACCTCATGAAGTTCAACAAGGAGAAGCTCAAAGTCTTGCACCTGGGGAGTAACAAATCCATGAACTGATATATGCTGGAGGCTGCCCAGCTGTAAAACAGCTTGGCAGAAAGTGACTTGGGGGTCCTGGTCAACAAGTTGAACATAAGCCAGCAATGTGCCCTTGTTGCAAAGAGGGCCAATGTTATCCTGGGCTGCATTAGGCAAACCATTGCCAGTAGGTCAAGGGAGGTGATCCCTTGGTGAGGGATCAAGGGCACTGGTGAGACCACACCTGGAGTAGAGTGACCAGTTCTAGATTCCGCAATACAAGAGAGACATGGGTATCCTGGAGAGAGTTCAATGAAGGGCCACAAGGATAAAGGAACTGGATCACCTCTCCTGTGAGAAAAGGCTGAGAGAGCTTGGACTGTTGGCAGGGTTGGATGGGGCTTTGAGCAACCTGCTCTAGTGGAAGGTGCCCCTGCCCAGGGCAGGGTTCTTGGTTTCTTTCAACCCAAACTATTTTATGATTCTATGTTCAGCCTAGAGAAGAGAAGGCTGAGGGTGGATCTTATTAATGTATATAATTACCTGGAGAGAGGACGCAAAGAGGGTGAAGCCAGGCTGTTTCAAGTGGTGCCCAGTGACAGGACCACAGGCTGCAGGCACAAGCTGAAACACAGGAGGTTCCCTCTGAACACCAGAAAAGACTTTTTTACTGTGAGAGTGAGTGAGCACTGCTATAAGTTGCCCAGGGAGGTTGTGGCGTCTCCCTCCTTGGAGATATTAAGAAAAACATCTAGACATGGTCCTGGGCAACTGGCTCTGCTTAAGCAGGGAGACTGGACCAGACAACCTCCAGAGGTCCCTTCTAACCTCAACAATTCTGTGATTCTGTGACTTTCATTTCTTGTTAGAACTCTGCCTTCCATCTCTCAGTCAGTACCTTGGTCAGACCAGTTCAGTTTCCACCTTTTTGAGCATACCTCCAATCTAGCACAGCCTTCTTTGGTCTGTTCCAGAGTGAAACTGAAATAGCCATTTGTCATTCCACAAAAGATTATGTCATTCTTATAAAAGCATTTTCATCTCAGGTCCATAACTTATTTCTTTGACTTTGGACATCATCAAGCTGTTCTGTTTTCTGGATGTGTAAAGTGATAGTGTTACCTATGGTTTCTAACAGCCACAAAAATCTCTTACATCTGCCTGTTTGAAATCTCTAGTCTTCTTTCTAGCATCTGCAGATCACTGCATCTTTTATTCTTTTTCATAATTTTCTGTAAAACAAGATACTTATTCAGCTCCACACTTTATTTTTCATAAAAACACTTCTGGCTGTTACTGAGATTTCCCTAGGAATGATTTCCACCTATGTCAAAATTTTGCAGGAGCATAGCAAAAGGCACAGTACTTTTAAAATGCGTTGCCGAGAGAGAATAACCCCTCCCACTGTTAAAAAAAAGAGATAACAGGAGAGCTAGATTTCTCAATAATGTTTTGCACATGACTGAACTGTTATTAACTTTAATCTGTTATAACAGACACAGTGGAGACATGAAAAGAATTAGTTTTTTTCTAGGTTTTTCCTATTAAATCATAAGTACCTTGGATGCAGATGAAATCTTTGTCCTAACACAGAAGGCTCCTACAGTCAATACAGCCACTGT